TAAAAAATGTATAATTCAAAATGCGTGTATTATTTACACAAAGTTGCGAAATTCATGCTTATATCTACTGTATTTCATTTTTAACAAGATATGCGAATGTTTAAAAGAGAAAATTCAAGAGTGCTTATTAAAAATCTCAACTTAAGATAGGCTGCATGCGCGACTGCATGTTCTCTTAAACAAAACCTTCTGCAAGATAACGATATATTATGTCACGAAGAAGAATCGCAAGCATTCGTGAGTTTTTCAACAGCGACGGCTGTCATCGATAATGTTTTTAATTTCATGCCGATAAACCTAACAATTTAAATGCAGCGTCAGACGAATGTTCGAATTTGGATTTATTCGTTTATAGTATCCAGCCAAAATGGATCATCCCATATGCAAACAATAGCATAAAAGATCTCGCAGCGTTCCGATATCGGAGATTTTTCAGAATGAGAAGAAGAGGAAGATTCGATAACGTCATACAATTAATGTAAAATATTCTCGCCACAAAATGATTTAATCTTGACTATCTCACGGTAATTACGTTAATTCAATCTGTATTTAAATCTACATTTGATAGCTACGAGCCAATAATTTTTCATAATTGCTCACTCGAATAGTTAAAGAGAAAGATAAAACATTTCGCAGGCAAATGCGTATATTATACGAATTCATGTATCTTTTAGAAAGTAATTAATTATTATTTGTTTGGCTTATTATCAAGACTTTTTCTCAACAATTATGTTTGCAAAAAATTATGTATTTTAATTAAATTAAATATTCAATTTGAGACCTAAATCTCTTGATAGTAATATTAACTTCAATATTAAATCAACTATCTTTAGAGAAGCTTATTCGTCGAGAGACTTTTTTAATATTTGCCTTTCCGTTACGTTACTACGAAAGACATAGAAAGAATCTAAGAAGGATCCTAATCTGATGGCAAAGGACGACGCCAGACGAAGATTAATGGTCCCATGATACTAGATCTCGCCAGACTTCTTCATACGATTTGTACGAAACTTGCGATCATATTTTTTAACTATAAAAAATATCTCAAATGTTGGAATATTATAGAATATTTAGCATGAGAACAATTTAGAAACTTTTTGAATAATTTTGAATAATTTTCTGAGATACGTGCATTAAAATATTTGTACACGTACATTAAAATATTTGTATGTGTAGAGTCTCAACATTGCTTAATATTATATATTGTATCAAGTGCTAATAATTTTTTTCTCTTCAAATACTATAATATCTTCATTACAAAAATTGATTTTCTGCATGTCGGGGATTTGTGATTTTTTTTGTTTCTATTTGAAATAAACTTTTTTTTTAAATCTATTTTTACGGCGATAGACACAATGTTGTATTAAGATATGTATTAAGTGTGTAGTCCATGACGGACAATTTTAGAGATATTTTTTTTAGTTAAAATAATATTATTCATGATTTAAAGTCACTAGATAAACAGATGATTCATAATGCGCAATTCATAGTGAAGAAAGATTAAATTTACTTTTTATTTTTCCGGATACATATATTGTATCCGAGATTAATACGAGTTGATACACTTATGACTCATATTATATTTATTATATTCTTTAATCTTTATATTTTTGTTGTGTTTCTTTTTGCTATTTTTATACAAATACATGAAGGATTTTTTAAAATAAATATTGAAAAAATTAATTTTTAAATTGACATAATATAACTTCTGAAAAAAAGTAACATTTTTACATCATGTACATTACATCATGTAAAAACGTGCTCGAAATATTTCAACTTATGGACGTGGATTAATGCGGCCCTGATGGACACATGAAGCATTCTAATGGTCATTCTTTTGTTGAAAACAAAACTGAGGCCAAATTGAAAAGAATGGTAGCCATTTGGACATCAAAATGTCGATAGTTACAGAATTATTTCACATGGAAAATTTATTCTGAAAAAAAGACTTATTTATTGTGAACAAACTCCAAAAGTAGAAACACGTAATAAAAGTCTAATTATAATTAATTTTTAAAATATTAAGAGAAAATTTTTATTTAACAGATTTATATTAATAGATTTATTAATAGAATACAATTTGACAAATGTAGAAATTCGATACATACTTTTACGTATATTAGAATATACAAAGCAGCACTTGTGTAATGCATGAAACATAAATTTCATTGAAGTCTGTTATTTCATGTGTGGAAATCTCCCCAAATACAACATGATACATTGATGCAGAATAATAATATTTAAATAAATGCTGGCGGATATAAATTCTCAGTTCATTAAATTACTAAAATTGTGTTATCGGAATTATAGAATCTATATAAGTGTCTTTAAATGCGTTTATAAATTAG